CATTACACGAATTGGGAGCGAATTCCAATAATTTACGAAATTATCCGTTCGCATTCTGACAGGTGAAATTTGTCAAATGTTTATTTTCCGGCCGACTCATCGATCTGTACTGCCAGTCGAGCGGGTTCAATTACCGAAATTGAATTAGAAGCCGTTTGCTCAATGAGAACGTAGTCATGTCAGCGTTTACGTCACACAATCGCGTGCTCAGGTGTTGTTCGTTCCGATCTAAACGATCAAAGTTGTCTGACGTGTGTGTGTGTGTGTGTGTGTGTGTGTGTATGTGTGTTTTACACAATGTTTTCATATTTAAATAGACCGCGTTGCATGTCCCATTAGCATTATCGGTGTCATCAAGTTGGACGTATGTGAGAATCAAGGTACAAACGACTGTCAGATATAAGAGGATTCTCAAGCGCGCGTTGAAAGGAGAAATCGGCGAAAGAAACCGAGTCTCAAGGTTATACGTAAATTTTCTCGCACAAACTGCAACAATTTGGATCGCAGCTGTTTCGGCTCATCTGTCTCTCTTTCTGTAGGGTGCGATCCTCTCTCAGAATTTTCCCAGATGCAGCACAGAGATTCCGACTAGAGTTACCAAATTTGCCTGAAAATTGCTTATATCGCGACGACACAATTGAGAGACGATTCTATTCTTATCCCAAACACGACTCTCCGACGTTTAGAATAGAAACAAACAGCGTGTAGCTCCTCGAATTCTGGCGTGGTGTTGATCATACGACAAGGCGTATAACATTGCCACGCGAATGCGTTAATCGTACACTTATCTGCACGAACAACAAGTCTCGCGAACCGTCGCTGCCAAAAGCTGCGAGTATCACCTATCAGTCACATCCGAGATCATTGACGTTGCGGTCGAAATCGAGGCTGACAAGTAAGAAACCTCGGGGAACGTCGGACGCCGATTTGTTTCCAATTTTTCATAGCTATTTTTTATGCCAAAATATGAAGAAATCTGTTGTCATTTTTAGTTTAAATTAATTCTTTCAATTTTTTCGAAATTTTTCAAGTTTTGTACACACAAGTACGCTATACGTATTACTTATACGTATTTAAAACAGTATTTCTTAAAAATATATATATATCTGATTTGTTGAAACTTGCACACACACACGTCGCCGATTATGAGCCAGAACCATTTTGTAAAATTCAAAATGGCGGATCTAATATGGCTGACGTCATTGTTGAAAAAGTGTTCAGTTTTATGCTACATTCGACGACGTTGGGTGTTATCTATCGGCTCATGCTATCCAGCAAACAAGCTCATTTTAACGTCAAGATCTGGCAAAAAATGAACAAGAAATGAACAAAAAGAGAATAAACAAAAAACTTGAGAAATTTCGAAGAAATTGAAAAAATTAATTTGAGCTAAAAATGATAAAAACGGATTTCTTCATATTTTGACATAAAAAATAACTATACAAAATTCGGCAAACAAATCGGCGTCTGACGTTTCCCGAGGTTTACTTGCGAGAGTCGTCGCGCTACCAGCGGCGATACTTCTTCCTCTTTCTCCTCCTCCTCCTCCTCCTCTTCTTCTTCTTCTTCTTCTTCTTCCTCTTCCTCTTCCTCTTCCTCTTGTTCTTTTTCGAAGCAATCTCTCCCGGATAACGTGAAACATCATTTACATCGACACCACCAATCTCGATACGATTCCCGTTCAATGTCTCTCGCATTCTCGACGACGCGGCGATCGTTGAAAAAACGCGACTGCTCGACGAATATCGGTAAGTAGTAGACAAGGAGGACCACACAGTGCGCCTTGTGGCGTCTTTCGCGCCAAGTATGTATTTTCGCGCGCGGAAATCGTGATGGGGGGTTCTTGCATAATAATGAGTAAAAGAGCGAGGACATATCCTGAAAATTAACGCGCTCGCGCCGCGCATTTTTACGTCACGTCGCCGGCCGACGTGAATGATCGCAGCTTATTCGGCAATAAACAATAGTACTTCGCCCTGTCGACGCTGCCTGGCGACGCTAAAAATAGCCGGATTTTGACCGTTGCCAAATTTCAACAAATATTCCCGCTGAGGCTCGAGAACGCAGACACCTACGAGACGTCGTCGTCGTCGTCGTCGTTCAGTTTGCGCTCGCATGCACACACGCATAGTTGCATTGTTTTTCGCTTTGTTGCGGAATAAAGAGGAGCAGCGTCGCGAAACGCGAGAAACGGCGAAAAGTCCAACGGGTGATTTTTAAGTACCTTCGAGTGGTGCACGCTCTCCCGTTGTGTGTCGGCCAGCTCGCGAACTCCTGCAGTCGCGAAAAAATCGGAACGTCGGTCTAGATCCGCGAAATCCAACACACCCGGGGCTAACTGGCGTGCGCGCGAACTTGATCGTCGTCACGATCGTCTGAGATCCTCGTTATGATCGAGTTCGCCTTATCGTTGCTTTTTCGCCACGCCGGATCTCCCAGACTCGAAACGACGTCCGAACGATTATTATTCCTTGAAATTGACTCTGCACCGTGTTGCACCGACAATCGCGAGAGCTTCGAGCGTCACTCGATATCTCATCGGCCTCGGGCCGGCCAAGTGAACCTACCAAGATCCGAGGAAGACTACCGGACTCGTGTTGAGCAGCCGCGATTACTCGGTCTAATTTTCGCCATCGGACACACAGGACGATTCCGGGCGTCTTGTCTCGTCGAGGATCGCGAGCGTGGCTCTCGCGAGTGTTTCTCGCGGTGCAAGTGACGTGGCGTGATCATGGGGTGACAAGGTGGCCTTCCCAGCGCCCAGGGCTTGACTTCGGAATGCGCTTCGCGGCTGGATCTGCCCGAACCTTTTAACCTTTAGAGGACCGAGAAAGTTGTTTCCTTCGACTTTTTTTATTTATTAAGTATTGAAACTTTATCATTAACATCATTGGGTTGAATGACGAGAAAGATGGCGCCACTTTCGATATATTGGCTTCCGGTCCGGAAGAGAATCAGGATCCTGTTTTTTTTTTCAGTTTTTTTAGTTTTTCAACTTGATGTTATTAGATATTATTAGAATAATTGTTCAACATCATTTTAGGGAAAAAAGTTTGACAAATGACGAATGTATGAAAATTTTTATACCGCAATTTATGAAGTAGAAGGCAGTCAAAATGCATCATATGTACTTATATACATCAATTTATTTCGCAATAAATGCATACTTTGTCGAAAATATGAAAAAAAGTAATGGAAAAAATAAGAGGACTGTGATGGTTTTACAATAACATTTAGTAATTTTTCTTGGTGTGGTGTACAGTTTGAAGCACGGTACAACGCAAAGAGGTGCATCAGGTATTCACCGTAAATGAACAACAACAACAACAACAACAACAACAAGTATAACAACAAATATTATCGGCTCGACAGTCATATCACATACAGAGTTTGCATAGTTTCGCCGATCCTGTTTACAACAAATCGAAACTGGTACGATACAAAGCGATAAGCGTGTAAGCGAATATGAAATGTAAAAGTAGAATATTAATGAATTAAAATATCCTACAATAGTAAGTTAAAACCTGACAAATTGGTTTTCGGGCCTTCAAAGGCAAAAGCAATTAAGAGAAAAGAAACCAATAAATTGGTTTCCGGTCCTCCAAAGGTTAAAAGAGCGACATGCGCTTGTACGCTGGCGACTTACGAATCGGCTTTGAATACGCTCGGGGAAAGAGCGTCTCCTCGCGCGCTCCTTGTTGTCGAGTCCGCGAATAATTCGCGAATAATTCGCGATAATTCGCGAGAGACGGAAAGATCGATGTCTCGAGCGCTGAATCTTCAGTACGACCTGGCTACTTTTCACTCGGCTTTCGTGCCGACTATGATCCTCAACAGGGCGTACTACGTCTCCAATGACGACTACATTGCGAACGTAAGTGCGCGGTCGCGTGGTCAGTTGGATCGGCGGGCACGCGCACATTTGACCGGTTTGCTTTGCGAGAGGATTCAATTTTGCTTAATATTCACTCACACTGAACGCCGAATGAATTTGTCGAGTCGAGAAGTTCAACAAGAAAATGCCGTTTGCCTCGAAATTGCCCGTCGGCATTTATCGATTAATACTTAATCATCTCGTTTGTTCTCTCGACTCCGCTAAATCTTCAGTTTTCTCGCGAAGGGGTGGCTTTCTTCGCGAAGAACGCGTGCGCGTGATGACTCCCTCCCCCACGGCATTGATTGATAAACAACAATTGATTGACAAACAATGCTTTGTTAGCAATTGTTGTTCACGCAGCAAGGGTGTTTCGCGCGCCGCTGATAAGCGCGTTATCTCCCGCCGTTCGTGAATCGTACGAATTACGCCGATAGCGTATCAGCGTGCAGATAATCGTGACGCATGCAATCATCATCGTGTCAGCGAAGCTGGGTGAAATGCTCCGCTGCTGATGGGCATGCATGATCTGAATATATTACGTACAAATATATTACATATGATACAAATATATTTGCTGGAAAAATATAAAAATCCGCTCGATTTCCGTGGCGAGTTGCAGATTGTCCAAGTCGAAGCCTTTTATTCTGGATGTGCGCTAACTCATTAACTCAGGCCAGTGTCTCACTTACGAGACGCTTCTTTTTCTCCTTTATACAAAATCGCTTGATTGATATATGTAATTTCACTTAATTTTAATTCTCAATAGTACCTCGATCGGCACTCAGAGAGGCTTCAATCAAAATCATTCTGATGCAAATTCTGAGACTTTTCTAACAAACTAAGTAAACAGCCTGACATCTATTATATATTCGCAAATTTTTGCGAAATTATGATCTTCAAGCGGAATTATTATCTCCAAGTCACTCCAAGTTTGTCGTCTTTCTCGCACAAATGTTACATCCAACTATAATACCTGTTACCTTAATTTGACGCATCGAAAGAGAGAATCACCGCAGCGTTCGCAGCACGTCCAAAATAAGCGGCCTCGTTTCCTAACTCGCGCGCGCGAATCAGCAACTGCTGAAAAGTAACGTGAGATATCGCTGCTGTCCGTTACGCGCAGATGTATGGCCGCTACACGAAGGACCTGGGTGAGTACGCGAAGGAAGAGGCGCGGAGACTCAAGTACCACGATAAGGCGAGGCGGAAGTACGACAAGACACGGGCCGAGGAGCTGCGAAAGTCCAGACGGGGTCCCCTGTGCAGAAAACTGCTGGCCTTACTGGCCTTCGCTTGGAAGCATACTGGCGCCCGGTTAGGCGAGGACTGGGTCTTCCTGGCTCTCCTCGGCATCATCATGGCTCTCATCAGCTATGCCATGGACCGCGGCATCTCCATGTGCAACAACGGTCAGTCAGCGTTCTCAGTCAGCGGAAGTCGCGATATTTGCGATTTGCTGGGTTGCACACTACCCTCCCCCCCTCCCCCCTCCCCCCATCCCGCCTCTCGATAACGAGTCTTCGCGTACGAGAGAGGCTAACCAATCGCGTTGTAAAACAAAGTGTGCTTTCGTTTCACCAGCCAGGATATGGCTCTACCATGATCTCACGACGCATCCGGCGCTCCAGTACCTGGCCTGGGTCTCCTTGCCAATGTGTTTGATCCTCTTCAGCGCCGGATTCGTGCACATCGTCGCGCCGCAAAGTATCGGTTCCGGTATCCCAGAGATGAAGACGATTCTGCGCGGCGTAGCGTTGAAGGAATACCTGACCTTCCGCACCCTGATCGCCAAGGTTAGCTGATAACAGTCGCGCGCGATAATAATCCGCCGAGACGACGAGATCCGCGTCTTCTCGTCTTAACAGCCGTTAACAGCCAGAGCCTTGTTTCTTTATTGAGTGATTAACGTTTTTTTTTTTTCTTTCTTTTCTTTCAATCAGAGAATCGCTTGATTAATATATATATGTATATATATATATATATATATAAAATTGTATCTTGACGTCTGTCGCGTATAGTTTTATTTTTACTTTTTACGTTATTATTTCAGCATCTAATTCTCGGTTTATAGCCATGTATCTTCATTGAGAATTGAGTTCGAATAACACTAATCTGACTGACTTGTAAGGAAAGATGATGTTGTATCACCGAAGGTGATCGGTTTGACGGCGACTTTGGGCTCGGGGTTACCACTCGGTAAAGAGGGGCCGTTCGTGCACATTGCCAGCATCGTCGCGACTCTTCTCTCCAAATTGGTGACGAGCTTCCAGGGTATCTATGAGAACGAGAGTAGGAACTGCGAGATGTTGGCGGCCGCATGCGCCGTCGGCGTTGCTTCCTGCTTCGCCGCGCCCATCGGCGGCGTGCTCTTCAGCATCGAGGTCACCACAGTGTACTTCGCGGTGAGGAATTACTGGCGCGGTTTCTTCGCGGCGGTGTGCGGCGCCACGATGTTTCGTCTGCTGGCGATCTGGTTCCAGCGTGAGGAGACCATCACGGCGATGTTCGCCACCAGCTTCACGATGGATTTCCCATTCGACCCACAGGAACTATTCGTCTTCGCCCTGATCGGCGTCGGTAGCGGATTGGGCGGTGCTTTCTACGTCTGGCTACATCGTCAATATGTTATCTTCATGCGCAAGAACAAGAGTATGAACAACTTTCTGCAGAAGAAGTGAGTCATCCGCGTGATTTCATCTTCTCTTCCCTCCGTCCAGGATCCGCGACCGCGATGGTGATTTTCACGTTTCTCACCTTTCCTTCTTTCAGTCGCTTCCTTTATCCTGGCATCGTGTCGCTCTTGGTGTCATCCGTGTCGTTCCCGTTGGGACTTGGGCAATTCATGGCCGGCGATTTAAACACTCACGATCAAGTTTACGGGCTGTTCACCAATTTCACTTGGACGAAGGAGAACCTCGTCGCGGAAGAAATGAATATCGTGAAGCATTGGTCGACGCCGTATACCGACGTGTTCAGCGGCCTCCTCAGTTACGTCTTAGTCACCGTAAGGCGACTTCTACTTTTACGCGTTTAATTTACGATCTTCTAACTGGTTCGATTCACCTCTTAATAAACCCTCTTAAAGAGGACTCATGAGAGCGAACTTTGTAATTTCAGTTTATCTTTTCCATCATAAGCTCGACGGTACCGGTGCCGTCTGGGATCTTCATTCCTGTCTTCAAGATCGGTGCCGCGCTCGGTAGAGCAGTGGGCGAAGCTATGGCTCTTTGGTTCCCTACCGGTGTGCGCTACGGCGGAATAATCACGCCTATTATACCAGGTAAATAAGTACGAAATTGTATCTGCGATACTCTTCTTTTGATTGATCTTGAACTTTTGATATAACGCAACAACGTCTTTATCCTAAGCTCAATGAAAGTTGACTTACAATGTCCGAATGAAGGAATGTCTCATGTCGCAAAAACAAAAACAGAGAAACATTGCGATTGCGTGCATTTGCGTGAAAAATTTGAAAAAGACAGAAATATTATTATTATTATTATTATTATTATTATTATTATTATTATTATTAATATACTTTCTCTCAATATTTACTGTGTCGAGCAAACATACACACACACACACAATGAATGAAGCTTCAACGTGAAGAAACGCTCCTATAATCGAGGAGCTAATTAATCTCGCGTCGCGTTTATCGCATTATTTTATTTAGGTGGATACGCGACGGTGGGCGCGGCCGCGTTCTCCGGCGCGGTGACGCACACAATATCCGTCAGTGTCATCATCTTCGAGATGACCGGTCAAATCACCCACATTGTGCCAATTATGATAGCGGTGCTAATTAGCAACGCGATTGCCGCGCTTCTTCAACCGAGTATCTACGACAGCATAATCCTCATCAAGAAGTTGCCGTATCTGCCCGATCTGCTGCCGTCCAGTTCAGGTGACTCTCCCCACCCTTTTTCACAATCACGAAATTTTCACGATCAATAAATCAATATATTGCATTAATCTCTCTAATCTCTCTCGTGTTTACATCGCAAAACGTTTCGACGTTAGGATTGATTGACACAAGGTAATCTCTTTCGGACTCGTCGCGAAACTCGTGATTCCGCTTCCCGGTGATTGATCGCACCATCTCATCTTGTCATTGCAGGAATGTACAACGTTTACGTCGAGGACTTTATGGTGCGCGACGTAAAGTACATATGGCACGGTATCACCTATCAAAAGTTGAAGGAGATACTGAAGGAGAATCGCAAGCTTCGCGGATTCCCGCTGGTGGATAATCCGGATTCGATGATCTTACTCGGCTCGATTCAAAGGCTGGAACTGATTAAGCTCATCGAGAAGCATATTGGTCGCGAGAGAAGACTGCAGGTTACATGAGCTTTCTTCCTCCCGTGGAATTTTCTCTCTTTGAACACGTCGCATCCTTCTTGATCTCTGTTCAACTGCTCTATCGTCAACTCTCTATGTCCGCGCAGGTCGCACAGAAATGGCACAAGGAAGCGGAGGAAAGGGCACGCGAGGAGATGGAACGGCAGCTGCGTGAGCAGGAGAGGATCAGAAGACCTTCGAGATTCGAGGTCATACCGGCACCAGACATCCTCAAGATGCAACGGCAGAGTGTGAACGATCTAACGATGTCGGCAAACAATGGCGGTGGTCCCGATCATGTGAGTCACGTTCGCTCACGTTGGCTTTGACGTCAATCCGACACACGGGACTGACTCCGGAGAATCATCAAGCTCAAAAACAAACTCGTTCTCCTCGTTCCTTTGCAATTGTCCGTATTTCCGTGCGTGTCTCGTAATACTAATGTAATGTATTTCTCCTCGGTGCACAGCATACCTTCCACTCGCCGGTGTTTGGCTCGCAACCGAAGAAATCCATCTTGAAGAAAACGAATTCCTTCACTCTAAAGGGTTTCAGTCCACTGGTCAGTCCGGCGGTGACACCTTACACGACCGTCACGGGCGCTGAAAGCAGGCAAGTTCACGTCATCATCACTAATCCGCCCGCTAATACTTACGGACTCAATCAGAAGAAAATTCGATTCGACTTCTGACTGTCAACTTTGACTATCGTAATTAATGAAGACGCACTAATGAAGAAGTGGATGATTAAAGCTATATCCTTGGGATATAGCTTTGAGGAATCGCACGATGTATCCCTGATGTATATGATTACTCATATTGCAGAATACGCCTGGCGTTTGAAGCGATTTTCCGCAAATCCGCCACGTTACAGGATGTAGATCCTGATCCAGATTTAGGGACTGACGGTGGTACCAGACGTGAGAGCCAGGAGGCTTTGAACGTGCCGCCTCATACGCCCATGTTAGCACCCAGTCCAGCAACTTTGAAGAAAGTACAGTTGGTGAGTGGAAACATCACTGGTTAACGCAGCATGCCGCTTCTAGTAATAATAAGGTAACCTACGTCGTTTTCGTGTTCGCCGAACAGCCTCGAGAAAGGGTGATCGACATGTCCGCTGAGGACCAGAAGCGATGGGAAGAAAGTGAGATGGCACTCGAGGTAGATTTCTCGAGATGTCACATCGACCCGGCGCCGTTTCAGCTAGTCGAGAGAACGTCTCTACTGAAGGTCCACAGTCTGTTCAGCATGGTCGGCGTAAACCATGCTTACGTAACAGCTATAGGAAGGCTAGTCGGTGTCGTTGCGTTAAAGGAGGTATGTTTGTGACGCTCGCCTTGTCATATGCCGATACAAATTAAAATGTAAACATTGATAATATACTATTATAATATATATATATGTATATATATATAATTGTAATGATATATTACATTAACATCATATCACATGTATACATATATACATTAATACATGACGATATACGTTTTAATTTATGTAATTTCATTCGAATTCATGTGTGAATTGAAGATTGTTAATTACCATATATATATATATATATATATGTATATGTATATGTATATGTATGTATATATTCACATATATTTTGCGCACATAAAATATTGCGCGATCTTTAATTTCGCAGCTGAGGAAAGCTATCGAAGACGCAAACGCCGGGATCCTGCCTATGCATTCCGAGTCGCTCATTGGCGTGTCGGACTCCAGCCTGGCGAAGAGCGAGACAGACATAGAGAGCAAAAACATCAACACGATCGTCACCATCAGTTCTGTAGACAACGAGAAGGTGGACAAAGTTTGAGGAAACTCAATCAGGCCGAGACGAGATAAACGGGAACATATTGTGATAGCCACGTCCTGTAGCTGGGTCTGCGACGTGGCCCGAAGAAAAAATGCGAGAGCCGTGTTTCAGCAATTTTCCCTCCCTTCCCTTTCGCGTAATTGTCCCCTTCGCGATCCGATCGCAACGTGCCAGGCCAGGTCGCGTAACGACACAATTGACCTCTCAAACACTTCTCTCGTACTTAAGTCTAAGGTGAACAAAAGCTAAACCCCACGGAAAGACGCGAGTGTGTAAGCATAGTATTATCGCGCGGCGCGACTCTCTCAGAATTTCCTATTCATTTCAACGTAACTAACTGACGATTGATATTAAGTATACGCGATTCATTGTCCGCATTTGCGCGCATACATTGTCGTACCGGGTATCTTTATGTCTTATGTCGTGATCGAGTAGGATGTTGTTATATTGTAAGGTAAGCTGTGCATGCGTATGTATATCAGCACGTCGATATTAGCGCACAACGATATTCATAATTGTCATTTTATCGGAGAACGAAGCAAATCGTCTGGCAAACTGTGCCAAGCGCAGGACCGAGTTGTCTTTGGACTCTGCGCGCAAAATCCGCAGCGGTATATATTCGCGAGACTCGCGCGGATGAGAGACTCGCGCGCGTTCACAAAAACAGATGCTGTGAGACACGAGTCTATTACTACTACATAAGCCATAACTATAATTCAGTAAAATCGATGAACGCAGGTGTCGACGAACGTAGGAGCGAAAATAACTCAAAGTGCCAAAAGCGGCGACACACTCGATAAAACGTACACCCACGGTAAACGATTCTGTCCCTTGGAAATTTTCACAAACTGAGAAGTGACTACGTTTCTACACTACTCGCAGCCCATGCACGATTAATAAAATAACTAAAACTTACGCTCGCTTATGGAAGATTGAGGCCTGGTCTGCAATACCATGTCGTAAGTTGTAAGCCGTAAGAATTGGCGAATCACAGTCAATTGTTATAAAAATAGTCGGCTATAATTAGCCAGTTCTTACGGCTTACAGCTTACAACATCTATTATAGATCAGACCTCAATCCTCCATAAGCGAGCGTAAGTTTTAGTTATTTTATTAATCGTGCACGGACTGTGAGTGGTGTAGAGACGTAGTCACTTCTCAGTTTGTGAAAATTTCCAAGGGACAGAATCGATTAGCGTGGGTGTACAATTCATCGCGTCGTGTCGCAGGCTGATCATTTAGGATTATTTTTACGCCAATGTTCCCTTAGCTAGTAATCGTCTTGATATGGTTGTGCCACACTATTATTTATTAATGCGATTGTTGATTATTATTATTTATACGTACACGAGACAATCAATTATCGATATAGATCGAACAAGGCAGCACGGAAGCGCGCAAGATTCTCTCTTTCGTTCGACAAAATACTCAATTATTCGGAAACAAAGATGAAAAATAGCGTCCTATCTCATATTCAGAAGCTACTTGAGAAGAACGGTCATTTTAGTTGACGAGCTCTTCGATGCAGAATTTATTCTAATATTGATCGGAATGGAAATTGTTAAAGACGCTGGAACGAATATTATTTATTTTTCATCCAAAAGAAGATGTAATCGAGATGAAGATTTAGAGGAAAGCAAAAATTTGTTAACCACTTGTTTGTACTGAGATACGAGAGTGACGGAACATAAAGAGCATCTTCCTCTTTAATTCACAATACTAGGTAAACAATTAGTTAGATGAACAATTAGTCAGAAAGTTAGACAAAAGATTATCGTGTATCGCAATTATTACTCTAATAATTTTAAGTTAAGCAATTGAGACGATGTTGTCATTACCAGACTTTGCAGACCGTTATGGTCGTTATAGGCGCTCAGCTAACATCGTCATAATATTCCGCTCCATTGAGTTGACTAAGTTAAAGTCGTCGGCTAAGTTCGAGGCACATATTTTACATTCCATAGGACTAGATCTTTATCATACTAGATTGTATATTTATTACGCCAGAATTGTATACGATGACACCGCGTTCGTCGAATGTAAATATACCGCACATTGTGAGCAAAAAAGACATTAAATAATTTATTACGTTTACTCATTCAACAATATGATGAACTTTGTACTCGTTTTTTTTTTAGTCCCAAGAAGAAACGACAGTTTCTATTCATGCAAACCAAATGTACATAACGCTCTGCGGTCCATACGTACGTTTTATCGAGGTAGGAATGAAACGATAAAGACTCGCTGAAGACATTTCTTACATCACTTTTATACTATAATTTAATCTGCGCGCATAAACATCGTATTTTGCATGCACGAATCAGTTTACACTTGACTGTTTATCCAGGCTGAACCAACCGTGCAGACACTTAGGCGCCGGTCCTGGTGCGTCGAAGGTGGCTCTCGCGATTTCTGTAAATGTCACGGCATCCAAGATCAACAGGCCGACTTGACTCTCGTTTTCCTTGCCCCAGACGAGCGAGCTCACGATAACACCGTCGTCTTCGTCCTGGATAGAGGAGCGAAATATTGAAGCGAACAATCAAGTTCCTCCGTTTTTGCAGCGTAAACGCAACGCTGTTGTTATATACCTTCGCGTAGGGATTTGCTACGAAGATCGGTTCGCTGGGAGAAACGTTCGCCTCCTGCCATACTTTCCTGGTCTTTCGATAAGTGTCGACTTTAATGAGCTGCAATGAAAGAAATCATCCCTTTCGCACTCAATGTCTTTGAGTCTTTGCAATCAGGATATACCGACCTTCGCTGGACTACTCAAGTCTACGTCACTCGAGATCGCGTAGAAGTATCGATACTCTCTACCCACATGGAAGTCGGCGTTCACTCGCGGAGTCTCGCAGCCCAGGTCGCAAAGTAGCTCCGGCTTAACGAAGATCCTGCCGTCGGGGAACAGGTGAGCGGCCGGCTTTCTTCGCAGAGCGTTTCTGTGCTCGGCCCATTTGCGATTTATATCGTCTGTGTTGGAGACTGTGATGTCGTCCGAGTCGTCGACGATCTCGAAGTTCATTTTGTCCGCGTCGTGATCGAGCGACTTGTCGTCGACGTTTCGAAACAGATCCAGGCTCTGATGCACCGTTTTAATTGTGATAAGGTTGTGCTCCGGTGGTGTGTCAGCACACGGTTCTTTCAACGGGAGTACGAAACGCAACGGTCTGCCGCGAAACATGTTCGCGTAATCGGGGTTCTCGTGCATATTCTGCAAACAATGAAAGACTGATGAGTCACGCAATGTGTCGCAATTGCAAACGCGTAGCGCAGCCAAGCCGAGCCAAGCCATGAGATGAGCGCGTACCTTCATCGAATCGATGTACATGCACTCCAGCATTTTCGGGTCCCGATAACAACATACATCCAGAACGACGTAGTCCCTGTCGCGAGTCTCAAATTGGTTGATGATGTGAAGGAAGAAAAAGGTCTCCGCGACGAATGTCTTCACCGTTTTGCCCGTTTCCCTTGATATCACGTGAATGAGTGTCTGATGGAATGGAGACAACATAATGTGTTAAAATTAAAATAACATAATGTGCCGCTAACTGTGTATACGTCAATGATGATTTAGCCTCAAGGATGACGTTACATTTTCGTTTTCGTGCCATTTGAAGCTGTTGACCATCGGTTCTTGTTTAACGTGCACGACCATCATCGAGACCATGGAGATGGCCAACGGTTGTTCCACGATTATGAAGTAGTTCTCGGTGATGCCGAAGGTGTGCATGTACGATGGGTTCAGCGTCCATCTACACGGCACGCTAGCAACGATCGTCGCTTGATCGAACATGGAGAGTTCCTTCTCCTCGCCGAATTCATCTTCACGAAAGGAAAAAGAAAAGCAGAGTAGCATGAGTAACAATAATAAGAATAATGGTACTGCTAAAGGATAAAATGTTGTTTTTCATGACAAATGACAACGACAAACGATGAGACTTTGTTTCTCAGAAGTTGTCTGCTTCATTAATAGAAGACTTAACTTGGTCAAACTTGTGACTGTCTCGGTTTAATCGAAGTTAATTGAAATTAAATTTGTCCTTGATGAAAGAAGGATTGATTACGGAGAGAAAGTATCTTACCGACGGTTACGCGACTGGGATAAAAGCCCACGACGTTATATCGAGGGCCGAGCGGTGTTAGGCTTAGACCTACGTTGTAGACCGTACCGTCAGTCATAACGTGAGGATGCGAAGTGTGATTTACGATATTTACATACTGGGACACGTTCACCTATGTGTGTGTGTGTGTGTGAAACAGTTGTAAAATCAGATTATTTTATGGACAAACATATATAAATACATGTGCCTGCAAACATGTATTGGGTTGGCAACTAAGTGAATGCGGATTTTGTCGACAGATGGATTTTACACTTTCTTTTGTTTCGTTAACGTGTTCAAAGTACCTAACCTATATTTTTTTCTTATTGTTTGGACTTCTACCTTTCATTTAGTACAAAAATTATATCGATTAGTTCTTTAGTTTTGTTTTTATCCCAATTTAAAAATGGAAGAGCAAGACGTGCACTTCAGACTTATTTTATTGTATTATTTCGGAAAAGGCAAGAACGCGTCGCAAGCACACAAGAAGTTATGTGCCGTATATGGGAATGAAGCCTTGAAAGAAAGGCAGTGTCAAAATTGGTTTGCCAGATTTCGTTCTGGTGATTTTTCATTGAAAAATGCTCAACGATCTGGCCGTCCAGTTGAAGTCGATGAGACCCATATCAAGGCCATTATCGATTCAGATCGTCGTAGCACAACACGCGATATTGCAGAGAAGCTCAATGTATCGCATACATGCATTGAAAAAAATTTAAAAAAGCAAATTTAAAATTTTGAATTTTCATTCTTATTTAAAATCCGCAATCACTTAGTTGCCAACCCAATACAATTTATATTGAGTACAGAGCACAAGTGTATTAGAGATAATCTATTAGACGGTAGTTCACGGATTGAAACCAAATTCGGTGTCGAATTAGGCCTCGAACCGCACTCGTGAGATAAAATAAGAAAAACAATTAGAATGTTCATTCACCTTGCCCATGGTCTCCAAGGTCTTCGGGTCGATTCTGTGCATCACCGGTGCTTCTGTAAACGTGTAATATTCGTCACCGAAGGGGTAAACCGAGATCATAGTGTTGTCCGAGAATTTCTCGTCCGAATTGAATATCGTGGCTACCCTGAAACCCAAATCGGTCACGGTAAGTGAGGCGCAAATATAATTTAAATATTTCCAAAGAATCATTCAAATGATTCCATCTTGTTCGATATCATTTTTAAATACAAAGTCCACGTGTGCTTGAGCGGGGCATTTATCTCAGAGTGTAGAACGAGAGAGTATTCACCGCACAAGACCGGAGATGAAAACTTCAAACTTACTGCGAGCGCAAGGAAAATTTTCAAGTAAAATCTCGCGCAGCGGAATATGGCGAAGGCGCCAATTTCGCGATGACTGATCGCGAGACTCCCGAAATCGATCAGTCACACAAAATAGACGCGATAGACTCAGGTTTGCGATAATTCTCTCGATTCTGCTCGATCAGTCTCGATTCGTTCGGCTACTTTGACTTAACTAATCGATGTTTAGTTAAAACTCGATCGATGTTAATCAGTCGATTAGTTTAATTAATTAGTCACGTTCAGTCACGTTTCAGCAGCCTCGCAGTCTCATCCTCGCTGAAGCTTCTTTACCTGTGGAAGATACTTCGACAGGGATCCGGTGTGGCTCTGGTGCCGAATTCAGTCATTACTATCCTCCGAGCGGCCATGTTCTTCTTGTAGACCTCGGTTTGAATGAAACGTCGCTGGTAAGTCACTTTGCCGTCCGAAATTTCGAACCTGCGAATTCACACGAATCGATGAGAGCCGCCGGAGAGAAAGCTGGAGACTTTCGGCGCGTTTTAATATTTGTCGCGACGCACGCACCTGTGCACCAGGGCGGAGCTGTCGAACAGGTGCTGGAAGGTGTACTCGCCCACTTTCAGCTTGCCCGGGCCGTTCCTGAGGAGAGTGCCCTTCAGCCACTTGGGGATGGTGCCGGTGAGCTTGCCGGCGAGCGGCTCGATCACCTCGTGCTCGCAGCTTCTCATCCACACCGAGCTGTCGCAATCGGGATAGTAATTCGCGTTTTGGTCACCGGAATCATCCCCCGCGTCACCGGCTGTCTGGTTTCCATTTTTATCACGCTGCGAACAAGGAGAGAATGAGCGACGCGCACCAAGAAGAACTATTCTTTCCTTTTTTTTTTCTTTTCTTTTCTTTTCTTCGTGAGTAGTTAGCTACTTTTCTGGCTTTCAAGAATATGTATCACTCTCTCTCTCTTGTTCCTCTTTCGGAAAAACTTACGTGGAATTCCGGCGTTTTCGGCTTATTACTGCACGTTACACTCTCGAAAGTATCAAACATGTTCGACTCACGGATTCGCATTTCGTCGGGTGACGTTCTGAGACAAAAGCACTTCATTTTGCAACTTTTCCCGTTCCTCGCACGTCCGATTAGAGCGAAATTCCCACGCGATCACCGTCACGGAAATTTTCTTCTGCCAAATGCCTAAAGCTCGTTAATCTAAGAAGAATAAACCTTTGTCAACTATCGGGATACGAATCACTAAGCTATTCAGCCACTTCGACTACCACTTTAGTTTGAATAATAACAACTAAATTAGAAGCAGCAATGTTTAAAGCAAATCCTTGAGGTTACGCGCGCTCGTCTTCGTCTGCGATAACGTTATTATCGTCGACCGCCATTTCCGATTCGAGCGGCCCTAAGATCGACGAGAGAATCTGATACACCCTTATGTGCGTAAAATCCATCATTCGCGGCGTACGTTTCGACAACGAATGACGACTACGTCGCAGCGCGTCTGTCTGTTGACCTTAAAAGCTAATCTCCCGATAGAATTTTCATCCAATTATCCAGCAACACCAGTTGATCGAAGCCTTTGATGAAGTCACGTGCCGGATTTGCGCGGCTTATTGCGTTGCCGTTGTCTGCCGACACGTGCATCGGGAGAAACGTGACACACTTTCGTCACGTCGACAGATTCAACGCATATCCCAGAAAAAATTGCACCGTGTTCACGCGAACATATCGCGTGTTATCGTCCGGATCATTCAAGTTTCGTCATCACTGGATCGCTTCACTTGGATAAATCAGACGATTTATCCAAGTAAATCAATCAATTAAGGGGACTGAAGGGTCAGATTACTGAAAAATCGTGCTCGTTTCTTGATAATATTTTCTTGATAATATTGACGAACTGATTAAACGTGCAAGAATGAAAATTTTCGATACATTTATATAACATATGAAGAGTAAAAAAAATTTTGTTTATTAACAAATATTCATATAAATATACGTCCACTTAAATTTTAAACGCGTTTCTCTCGAAATTTTATTGTTCAACTTTTTGCAGTAATTTTTGCTCCGAGACTGAGCTTCGTGTCGATTTGAAATTTTAAAGCAATAATATTTGTTCATCTGGCTCTCAGGTGAAGCATGGACAACTCCGTCAAAATATTTCATTTCGAGATATTAATTTTTTTACTGTAAAAGAACTGAAAAATTTGAATTTTTTCCTAATAGCTGCCATTTTGTTAATTTTGTTCGATCTTTTTCTATAGCGCTTCACCGGATAATGATAAGCCTCCTTAAGATTTCTAAACTAAGATTCGCTCTGATCAAATCAACCGAGAGCCGAGATGTTACTGCAAAAGCGACAACTTGAGAAAAAAGGAGAGTATATTTCAGCTATATATACAGGGTGCACGATTTATCTGAAGACATTGAAATATCTCGAGAACTATGCATTGGATAAAAAAGAGTGGTTAATGAAAGTTGTTAGTCTCGAAGGGGGACATCCAATGATATCAAACTCGACCTCCCACCCCACCCCCTGGGGGTGGGGGTTGGGGGCAACTTTGAAATCTTAAATAGAAACCCCCATTTTTTATTGCAGATACAGATTCTACGCCACAAAGTACGTAAATTTTGTCCGAAACTTTTTTTTTGATTCGTGATAGATGGCGCTGTAATCGCAAAAAATTATATTTTCCGCAATTCTCCAGAAATGATCATTAGATTGAGAAATAAAAAATACCTGTTCAATATTTTTAAAGAACATAATAAAAGTTATTCCCCCCATCCTCTCGGGGTAGGGTGGGTGGTAACGTTCAAATCTGCATGACGGTTGCCGGCGATGTCAAATCCGGCGACCTAGTAGGCCAATTAATCGGGCCACCTCTGCCAATCCACCGACCATTGTAATCACGGTCTAATACTTCCCGTGCTGCTATTGAGTTATGCGCTGGGCAACCGTCATGCAGATTTGAATGTTACCACCCACCCTACCCCGAGAGGATGGTGGGGGGAATAACTTTTATTATGTTCTTTAAAAATATTGAACAGGTATTTTTTATTTCTCAATCCAATGATCATTTCTGGAGAATTGCGGAAAATATAATTTTTTGCGATTACAGCTCCATCTATCACGAATAAAAAAAAAAGTTTCGGACAAAATTTACGTATTTTGTGGCGTAGAATCCGTATCTGCAATAAAAAAAGGGGATTTCTATTTAAGATTTCAAAGTTGCCCCCAACCCCCACCCCCAGGGGGTGAGGTGGGAGGTCGAGTTTGGTATCATTGGATGTCCCTCTTCGAAACTAACAACTTTCATTAACCACTTTTTTTATCCAATACATAGTTCTCGAGATATTTCAATGTCTTCAGATAAATCGTGCACCCTGTATATCGTATATTTATATGAGTATTTGTTAATAAGCAAAATTTTTCTACTCTTCACATGTTGTATAAATATATCTGAAACTTTTATTCTTGCACACTTATTCAGTTCATCGCAAAATATTGTCAAAAACAAGCACGATTTTTCAGCAATCTGACCCTCCCCAGTCCCCTTAAGCGACCCAGGTAGAACGGAAAATCACGATGACATCAAAATGACGAGAAAATGACCGAATCATAATGAAAAAATGAGTTTTCCTCATCATTTTGACGTCATCATTCTGATGTCATCATGATTTTCTCTTCTCTTCGCCGGTGGGCATATAATTCGATTGATACTCGTGAGAGGCAATTTTCCCGATAATAATAAGCTTTTCTTTATCATCCTAATCGTTAAAATCCGCTCTACGAATAACGATCCATATTTTGTTGCACTTTATAAAAATTCGATTGCACATTAGGAATTTAAAAAATTTTTCTCTCAATAAGAGAGAGAGAGAGAATGAGGGGGTAGTGAAACATCTACTTTATCAACCATAGTAGTTCCGTTTTGTTGTAATTCGTTTTCCGCACCTATCGAGGGCGACACAGGTCGTTCATCTACTTGCGTTAACCTTGATCTCGGTTCCTCTGTTTTCGGAGAGAGAGACAGAGAGAGAGAGAGAGAGAAGAAATTCGGTGTACGATGAATTTATCGTATTATACACAAAACACTCGTCCGTCAATTTAAAAGCCAGGCACAAGATTACATTGACAAACGCACGCGAACGTTGTCAGGTGCGTCGCTCGACAAGTATCTTTTACACCGAAAGCAAACTTAACCAAAAAGCAAGCGAGAAACGTTCGGTCGACATTTTGAAAGTCACGTACGCTGCACGCGTATATATAATTTGGATATACGTTCTGATGCTCGTTTACTTTACAAATATTTCCAAAATATCATCCTGATTGTCTTTGCGAATACGCAAGCATTTTGAAAAAACATTCGAGATATTTTTCACGGTGATGTCACGTGACGTGACGGGACGTCTTCAAATGTCCCGTTCTCGCGTAAGATATCGTAATATAAGAGGGACATTTTTGAGAATGTTACGCGTCGGATACTCTTGTGCATCTCAGAGTGCATCGTTATTTTCTCCGTTTACAGGAAACGGATCGCGCACTCGGGTCACTCCGTAGTTACCGCGCAGTAGTTACCGGAAACAGGCTGGCGATGTCGCACCATGAAGAAGAAGGTGGCTGGTCGTTGTGCAGCAGCGTTCGAAGTTTCTCGGACATGATCGGGGATAAAAATATTTGGAATATACACAACACGCGAGGACTACGACGTCAACGACGACGACAATGAAGACACGACGTTGATCCCAAACGCAGGCTCACCCGACGACTTCTGACCGTGAGGTAAGATCTTATTGAGTTGAAAAGTCCAATCGCTGAATTACACTCGCGATGCACAACGACTGCACGAAACTGTAATCTACTCTTCTCTGGATCTTAGCCAAGTGCAAAGTATATTCGTGGAGTGTTATTAACAACGCAGTGAACAATATCACCGAGCGTCAGCGCAAATGTTTTCTGTGCGTGTTATCATGTGTGCGCAAATGTTATCAGCGGGATATTTTATTACTCTTTCGCAGATATTAAAATTTTAATGTTTATCAATGTCTTTGGTAAAATAAGATGGGTGCATCGATCGTGTGTTTTCAAAGTTTTTAATAAGATAAATATTGATGCGATATTAAATTAACATTAGCCTTTTCAACATTAGCGTTCACGCAATTGGCCGAATGATAGCGAAAGAAAGGAAAAATGGGCTGTTTTTTCTTATTTCAATATTTTATAAAAATCGATGACTCGATTATTTACTCGTAAGATTTTTAAAGAGAACGATTATCGTGAGAGATTACGTTAAACGTTAACTCCAATCAGCAGAATATGAGAGAAGCCAAATTAGTATTCGCACTCTCCGCACTATTTCTACTTCTCCCTTTGTTTTTCCGTTAGTTACGATGACCGCCATGAAATCGCAAGTGCACGGTATAATTGATGTAGAATGACCTTGTGCGACGCGATCGACCGCACTTGCAAGAAGTTACCAAGCATACCGCTCCACTAAGGAACACTAAGGAACACGAGCACACATGTTTTTTATTGTCAACATTGAAGAAACGTATGTCTTCGAATATGCGTTCACGCAATTGGCCGAATGATAGCGAAAGAAAGGAAAAATAGGCTGTTTTTTCTTATTTCGATATTTTATAAAAATCGATGACTCGATTATTTAACCCGTAAGATTTTTAAAGAGAACGATTATCGTGAGAATTATTATACGTTAAACGTTACAGACAATGTGAATATAACTTTCTTTAGTGCGGTCAACGGTCAATTTACAAATATTTTTCACGAAGTGAACAGACTGTCAAGATCGACGGTAGTCATTTCTCTTACATCGATCTCATGAACTGCGTATAATCTAACGTCGATATTTTGCTCGGCGTCGTTGCATTGCAAGTAGCATTCTGTTTGAAAACGAAAGGAATGCTACTCGCAATGCAGCGATGCCGCGTTAAGTAAGCAGGTACTTGCGCAACGTATGCAAAGACGCTGTCGATTGAACGATAACAATTTTAGCGCTCGCGATTCACTTTATCCATTCACGCTGACGATGCGACGACTGTCACGGTGAACATTATGGATGCGGATATTCAAGTCCATCGAATCATATGAGCTGACCTATTGACACATTGACTGCCGATATGCCAACGATGATACATTGATACATCGCAGCTCGTGTAAGACAAACATCAAAGACTATCTTGGATTATATATGGATGAACGTTCCGAAGAGCGGCTCGTCGCTTCTCGACGGAGGAAAATGTCATAACTCTCATATGTTCGTACGACTAAACAAATTTCGCTTTCCGAGCTTCTGTGCTGGACAAACGCTTCGTTAAACGCGTATCAAGTCGGTGCAAGAGGTTCTCACCGTGTTTGTCGGATAAATTAGGAAACGTGATTATCCAATTTCGAAGGATCGGCGATTTTTACGCAATGAAAATACATAACATGGACCCGATAGTTTTAGTTGTTGTAACGTGAGAATATTTCTTACTCTTATTTTAATACTCGGACTCTCCACGAGATTTTGACAGGGAAAGGATCAATTTTTCGCATCTCTAAACACGAATTGCAAGCTTAATTTTGCAAGTTCGACTCCAAGTTTAATTACAATTGCAATTTTAGCCGCAAGCTCCCCGCAAACTATGCATTACCTCTCGCACCTCGACTCCGGGATATTGCGATTTATTGCCGAATCAAAGCCGTGTGGTGCTGATGTGGTACAACCAGTGATTTACATCTGTATGACTCTCTCTTTCTTTTACACGTACACACACATACGTTAACGCATACGTGAACAGCTGCACGTGCGCGAGAACGGTACATGTGTAAAGGTCGATTCACACTATACGGCACGTGGGCCGTCGCGTACCGGCAACGACACGACAAATTGCAAATGCATATGTTCAATGCACTGTCCCGGTAACTGTCCGTCAATTCGCTGAGTTGCAGTCACAATGGATGGATCATCCAGCGACGATAAATTGGCTCTCACAATCTTATTTTTAGACGAAGAGGAAGCCGAACTGAAAATAAAAATAAAAAAAAAGAAATCGAAAATGGGTACATGCAATGTTAAAAAAGGGAAAACTCGGAGGAGAACATTGGACATTGTTCAAAGACTTACTAAACTGTGACGACAAGTTTTATAGTATTTTAGAATGCCGCAATTGTAAATTGTTAAACGATTTGTTAAAAAATTAATTGAACCTGTACTACAGAAACAAAATGCATCGTCCCGTGAGGCAATTTCACCGACAGAATATTAACACTTTCGCTTAATTTTTCCTGCTCCATCCTCTGCTGCGTCCGTTTTCTATTTTTCTTTCTAGCTTTCTTCTGACAAGTAACACTAGAGAAGTGCCGTACGGCGGTTTTCCTGAAACTTGGCATACAAGTAGTACGTGGAAAACTATTGGACATGTATATTGTTATATCGGCCCGAAAGCCGTTTGAAGGGTAGAAATCACCCTTATCGATTTTGGAGGTAAGTTCGACTATTTTACGAATTATTTTTATGATTGTTGCGAAATACGATTGTTGATGCATCTAAAAATCCCTTCTTTGCGCTTGCCAGGATGAACGACGTGGACGTGATAGGGTTCTCTCATCCCATTGGAGTGCTTTTTGAACGTGAGTCCCCTCGCCTCATAAGGTGCCTGCGTACGTGCCTCGTATCGTACAAGCGACCCAGGCTCGAATCCTACCCTACGGAAAGTTTTTTTATTTGTTTTTAAATTTAAGTGCGAGCGTTAAAAAATTTACAATTTGTGTATAGGAAAAAATGTTAATTTGTATGGAGATTGCGTTATAAATAACTGTATATAGACGAAAAGAAATCAATTTAAAAGAATTAATTATAATAATTAAATAATAGAATTTAATTTTTAACTGAAAAAAAAAAGGGAATAATTTCTCACCACCTCCACGTTGGTTATTCCTGGGCTCGGCAAAGAGTGAGAAAATTTTTATCCTGCATTCTTGGTTTGTTAAAAATCAAGTCGGTCATATTGTATCCGCCATGGAGAATTATCAAAAACTGACTTCGGAATCCATTCCAAAAACCTCTAGATACCAAGTTGCATGAAAATTCAACAATTGTTTAGAAATTCATCTGCCATACTGGATCCGCCATTTGGAATTTTTGAAAACGGTCTTCTTCGTATTCAGTATTCGTATTCAGGGTCCTCGAAAATCCCTAGATACCAATTGTCATAAAAATTAAAACCATTTTGAAAAAATGCGACCGCCATATTGGATCCGCCATTTTGAATTCTTAAAATCGGACTCCAGATTTGTTATCAGCGACCCCAACAACCCTTAGTTACCTGATTTCGCAACAATCGTAAAAATAATTCGTAAAATAGTCGAACTTACCTCCAAAATCGATAAGGGTGATTTCTACCCTTCAAACGACTTTCGGGCCGATATAACAATATACATGTCCAATCCAATGTTCTCCGTGTACTACTTGTATGCCAAGTTTCAGGAAAATCGCCGTATGGCACTTCTCTAGTGTTACTTGTGAGTCAGACCGACGTACCAGCACCGACACGCACCGTCAAAATATTGTTTGCGAGAAGAAGTCGGTCGGTGCCGGTACGCGACGGTCCGTGCCGTATAGTGTGAATCGACCTTTACACTCGCGTGTAAAGCTCGCGGTTTCGCGAGCAACGCGCCACACATTTTTACTCACTCGCGGATGTAGTGCATGCTCGCACCACGTGGTAGTCACGTGCACGAGGCGAGAGGCGTGTCGCGTGAGTGCTCGCGAGCATGCACGTCAATAAAATCGAATTAGTGCCGCTATATACCTGGTGGCTGAAAAACAATGTAAGCGTGTCTTGCACCATCTGTAACGGCGCGCCTCTTTGTCTCGAGCCTCCGAGTCTCGTCGGCTCCGTCATTTTTACATAACGCTCGTTCGGGTAACGCTTGTTGTTTGTTAGTCAAGACATTCTAACGCGCATTGTTGATCGACTGTTGTTAATATTAATTACTTCCTGGACTTACTTTGAGCATTGTCTCCAAACACGAGATAACTCGTGCACCGATCAACAATTCGACTAGGAAGACACGAGTTCTCTCTCGTAACATCTCACAATAACTGTGATTGATTGGTAAAATAGAAAAAAAAAGAAGCCGAGTTTTTTTTTACAAGGTTATCGTCCAAAGGCGAAAGATGATCATTACGAGTTTTTTGCATCACAGAAGTTTAATTTAATGGCATAAATATCACTTCGGCACTTCGGGTAAGACATAAATATCATCTCGTTGACATAAGTTTCCACAGAAATCATCGATATCTGTGGGAAGGGGGATGGGTATGCGGTAATTAAAACAATCTCAAAAACGGTAAACGAAGGTGCTTATTTTTTATTCATTTACGATCGACCTTCTCGTGAACGTACGAGTATCGTGTGTGTGTGTGTGTGTGTGTCGCAAGAGCACCGTTATATTTAATCGCTTGAATTACAATCTTACCGCTTTATATGCCGTTTCTCCGGCTCGTACCTTTATCGTAGGCGAGATGAAAGAGTTCGTTCGCCGTCTCGTCTAATCGGACGTGATGCGTTAGCGTTTGGTCGCTTGGATGTTTAATTTCTTTATCTATCGCAAAAAAAGGACGAGACAGAGAAAAAGTTCTCTCGAGGCGTAAACGGCCACGCATCGCGGCGCGGTCGTTTTGCAAGTCGTTACATTGGCGTATCAATGTCGACCACTTACTATAATGCGACGAGTCGACGGTCAAGGTTACACGATGAAAGTGATTTTAATTTCACCGTACCAACAACGTGACCAACACACTCTACGCGCGTCTTCCTTCGGAGAGACGCGCGGAGAGGTCATTTCGAATGATGCGAGAGAAACGAACGATACGTAATTTTTCCGATCGATGATCTTCCGATACACTTTGACAGACAGAATCGTCAGTGGCTGCCAAAGTTTCGCGTTTTATGTTTTATGTTCTTTGTGGTGTAGGTCAACATTCTATTCGACATTCGTCGTAATTAATTTTATCCGGCGATGCGGACTGTTCGATATTGATTTCGGCCGATTCAATGTTAATTGTAACCGCGTGAACGTCCGTTCCTCCGCGAGAAGCCACGAGAAGATCTCTCTCTCTCTCTCTCTCTCTCTCTCTCTCTTGGAAGAAATCAAAAGGACACCGGGTATACATATTTACCGCTCTAGAAAGACGCTCTTTCCGCTACTTCATTGGACATATTTGTCTCACAACGATAACGACTGTCCAACTGTGCGCTTTGTTGTGACTCGTCACGTGCACATGTTAATTTCTATATTTTTTGTCGTATTTTTTGCGCGTCGCGTTAACGAGATTGGTCGGCGCGATTAACTGATGCCGGCTAATGGCGAGAACGCGCGCGTCGGTCGACTAATTAACAATAGGAGAGAGAGAGGGAAAGAGATGCGCAGGGACAATATAACGGACGGTGTAATTCGGGCACCGTCGAGTCTCTCTCTCTCTCTCTCTCTCTCTCTCTCTCTCTCTCTCTCTCTCTCTCTCTCTCTCTCTCTCTCTCTCTCTCTCTCTCTCTCCTCTCTCTCTCTCTCTCTCTCTCTCTCTCTCTCTCTCTCTCTCTCTCTCTCTCTCTCTCTCTCTCTCTCTCTCTCTCTCTCTCTCTCTCTCTCTCTCTCTCTCTCTCTCTCTCTCTCTCTCTCTCTCTCTCTCCCTCTCTCTCTCTCTCTCTCTCCCTCTCCGACTGGATAAAAACGGTAATTACAAGTTGACATAAGAGCAAGAAGATCGGAACGGTGGAAGTAAAACGTTTCAAGGAGACGACGTTTTCCTCGCGTATTGAGTCTGTAAAAAAATTCGGTTCGATTTCTTCGTCAATTTTGACTTTATTATTTTCTATGAAAACGAATAATTCATTAATGGATATAATACACCCATTTGATAGATACATTATACGTTTTTCCTGTATATATATTCCATCAAATATTTTAACTGTACATCGCTAAAATATTTATAAAATATATGCCGCGTTATGTATGTCGCGATATGAGGAATTCGTGACAATAAAAATTTCTCCTCGATAAAAATCATTCTTACGATCGTCGGGAACGTGTATCGAATGAAAGGTAGCTCAAAGCACGTATTATGCATTTTGGTTTAAACGAATCGTGTGCAATCACAGATTAATTAATTCGATTGTTCCGATAATATTCGGTAACGTTACGTAATGTCATTTACGCGATTCTCACTCTCATCGCGAGCATATTTTTTAATATCTTTAATATCTTTAATATCTTTCGTATCTATTTCGATTCGTCGTTGAATTTGATTACACGTGATACCTCAGACATTGTGTTAATCGATGCGCTTACATCTCCTCGCGATATCGCGAAATAAAGAAGAATCGATTTTTTTCGATCATGAATCCCACCAATAAAGAGGAGAAACCAGTCATACGTGTGTCATACGGACGCTGTCACTTTATTTTATCATGACGGTATTCTTGTTAATTGCAAAATGTCAATTTTGCGTACACGAGTGTATCTCTTCCCTTTTTATCAATGACCGTGCAAAAACACGAAGCTCGCTGATAATGAGGATCAGAAGTGATCGAAAGTCTCGATTAAGGGGGGAGCCTGGTTTAGAAGGCCAAAAAGAACATGTTTTTCATGAATTTTTTTTTAACTCAAAGTTGATATCTATTCATGAATCTTTTACAGCATTTTTATTAACACTTGAAAGATAAAATAAAATTTTTAATAGTAACAAAAAGAATTTTTTAGACGTTGAATTGCAAGTGTTTCTACCGCTGCAGAAATCACGGTGTTTGCTTGCGCCGGTAATAGCGAGCGTGATTTTGTCTGAAACAAAAAGGAATAAAGTAAGATATTAATTATAACATACGTATTTTGTAGATGAACTAAAAGAATTAACTGAAAGTTAACATTTTTATAATTTTTCAATGATTTAAAGAAACAAAATCGATTTTCGCCCAGAAATTTTGTCTTTAACTAGTAAAGGACATGCTTAAAAACACTTTTTTCCGAATTTCTTTAGTTCGTATAGAAGAGGATTTAATAATCTTTCAAATTGTTTTGGAACAACTCGATCAGTCTAGTAGTTCTTTTTTATCACCGGCGCAAAACTGAAAAATACGGTTTTGAGAAAAACGCGTTTAAAGCTTTTTTTTTAAAGAAGAGTAGTAATTTTTTTAAATTTACAGCAATCTGAGACTAATCAGCTATTCCAGAGACACATAATAGTCCCTTACTTTCTTCGTTTCGGAACTCGTTTTCTTGCATCAATTCCATTCTACGAGCTGCTCTAGCCTCTTTGGTGTTGCTTAAGCTGCTGCGGCGCTCTCCTCTCTTGATACGTGAGTCATCGTACGATTCAGCAAAAAATTTCGCATTTTGACCAGTTCTGATCTCTAATTCATTCATCATCTTCAATATTGAATAATATCCTTCGATGAAGATGCAAGCAGCAATAAAAATAGTAATTTCAATTATTTTGGCGCCCGAATGCAAGCGCTTAGGAGCAAGACGCCACACCGTAGAGTTAAAACTCTCGTTTGCGTTTTGCGTGACCTCCTAAACAATGTCGTCTTATGTCATGACTATCAGCACTGCTAAGTTTTCTTTTAGATGCACTCGAAATCACATTTTCACTTTCACGTTCCTTAGTAAAACGATTGCCGTGAAATTTTTTTTTATGGCTCCGAAGCACGGTGTCGCTTTTCATGAGATCCTTTCGGATATGTTGACATTTTTTTCAATTAAGAAAAAATAAAACAAACAAATAAATTGGCGTCTATAGAGGTGTAGTAACGTGCCGGCGTTCTGAGCTCAACTAATCATTATATGCAGTACGCACAGCGTCGTTTCGAATTTCTTTACACACACACACACACACACACACATTCTCATTTTCCTTTGAATTGTCCCTGACTCATACGATGGGGACAACCCATTTATCGGGCCGACGACTGTTTAAGAAAAGCTGAACAAAAGGGACGGGCCTGGTTACCTGGCTACTTTGCGCGCTCGGCTTCTCATAGCTGTAATTTCCAGAATTTAAGAGATATTGTTTTGAAATTTGAAATGTACATTTTCAAAGAGTACTACTATCAATTAAGCAAAAAAAAATAATCGATTTTTTGAACTTTCTAAACCACGCTCTCCCCTTAACGACGGTTCAAATTTGCCGTCGAATTTAACGCTTCGTATGATCTCTCCTCTGCGTCATGGGCGCATTCTTGTTTAACATTGCAATTACTGCCGACAGGATCGATTGCCGATCGCGGTAGGTACTTATTTGTCCGAGCACTTCTCCCCTGTGTTATTCAATTTTGGACGCGTTCTCGTTAACTATGTGCCGCTAAAGTCTTGATATTTGCGAAAAATCCGCCTGCCGTATGCCATCGCGTCGCGAAGAACGATTCGCCACTTCTATTTATATCCGAGGAGCGACGAACGATACATTACGCCCCAAAACTCTTGTTCTTCGCATATGGATCCTTCGGTGAGAATTTCACAGCGATCGCTGTGAAGGATGAGGGAATACTCTGCCGAGGAGGCAAACGTCTCACATTTTTCATCGGACATCTCTCGTTGATCGAACGTTCAATCTCCCTCATTGATCTGTTAGGAATTAGAATAAGGGAGTAATAAGTTTCGCGTTGCAATCCGTTCGCTAATCTTGCATGAAACACACCCGTCGGAAAATCCTGTGAAAGGATATCGAAATTGCTAACCGCTCCAACGATTATATCCTGCACGTTTCATCCTGAGGAAGCTTCGATTTCATCATGGTCGAAGAGTGACGAGTGGCTTCGGGACACGCTGTATACCGAGAATAGATACGTATGTATCTATGTGTGTGTGTATACGCAGACTCATACGCGAT